TTTAGAATGGAGGCACCTATTTTCTCCTTTTACATTGTTAATATAATTCTTTGTACAAATTGATTAAAATAAACAAAAAAACACAAATTCATCAAAATGTACATTTATAAATGTGAATTTTTTCTGTAAAGATTATAAATTGATAAGGACCTGTTTTTTTCGTGGTGACGTCACCATCCGGAAACAAAACATAGGGCGGTGCGCAACCGCAGTAGTCAGCTGAGCTCGTGACGTCTTAGGGCTAATGAGTTTTTAAACTTTCGATTAAGTTTGGGAAAAAAGTGAAAATTTCCCGTTTTTATGGGTTTATTTCCGCCCTCGGTTGCACATAGGTTGACCCGACGTCATCGCTCAGACTCAGGCGCGCGAGAGTGATTGACGTTTGATCCAAACCGGAAGTGAGGAACAGGAGTTTGGATCCGCAGGTAAACTTTGACACGTCCGTTCTAATTCCAACTGCATTGAATAATGTCACAGTTTGCTGCATTAAAAACCTAATTAAAGGAATTTAGAGCATATTTAGTTCCAGTAATCTGGAACCAGAGGTCAGTTTGGGCTCTGAACCAACAGAACATATGTCACTATTAAAATTCACTTTCTAAAACTGCAGAAACCTTCTGAAAATCAACAAAAATGTCTTAAAATAAGTGTATTTACCCTTAATTTGATTAGGAAAATAAGAGGAATTAGCATTTTTACCATTAAAATCAGATAATTATTTATTATGCACTTGAAAGAAGAGACTGCAGTTGTTTTTTGTTCTTATTTTTTATGTAAATTGTCTTATTCCATTGGCAAAGTGACTCTCTTATGTGCACCTATTTCAAGAGAAATTGATTTACATGTTTTGCAGTGAATGGGTGTCCCAGTCAAACCAGTAAATCTCCAAAATGGGCACCAGAGGAGCTCCTGGTTTCTGTAGTGCCTTTAGAACTTAATTTCCAAGGCCTCAGTGAAAATTAGGTTCTGTCTTTATGCTGATGGTGATCTATTCTTTAGAAATGATGCAGAAAAGCCCTGCAGAGCCAATCTAACCTGACGGTTCTCCATGAAGTTCATACCAAGAACTCTTCCTCTAAAAGCAGAATTCATTCAGACTCTGAATGGCTCCAACTCCTGGTTCTGGATCCAGTTCTATGATCCGTGTCAAAGTTCTCTGAATATTTTTCTTTAGATTCTGTAGAAGAAAACTATACTATTTAACCCTTTATAGGGTAAGTTAGCCTTTATGATCACTTGTACACCCCTTACAGTGCTTCTAAACCTCAGTGAGGTCTAGAATCACAAGATCTATATCCAGTCTTTCAGCAAAGATCCTGCTCCATGGCTGTAAATCTTATGTTGGCATTCGACCAATTAGATGAGCCGTTTAATGATATATTATCTACTGTAAATTAAGTTTTAAAAAAAAAAGGTAAAAAGCAAATTAAAAAGTTTAAATTAATAATCCTAGTAAATAGTTATATTTAGGTTTATAAACTAAAAAAATGTAAGTGCCAGTATCAGCATTAATGCCTCTAAGATTATGTTGTACCAAAAATGTTTCTTTCATTCTAGGAGTGTTTTTCTTGAATTTGTTTATAAAAGCACTTTGTATTTTTCTTAATATATTTGGGAAAGTTGGCATTAACTGATGATATTAACTTTTGGGATTAAAATATCCATATTTTTTGAACGTTATAAAGGTAATAAGGTCTGGTCCTGAATTCCAAATAACACTATTGGCTTTAATTTTGGATTTCACTGAGTGTCCTATAAAGGGTTAAAGTTCCGGTCCCTATAAAAACAACAGAGGTCTGGAGGTTCTGGTGTCAATAACAGCTTTAAATAAATGTTCATAAAAATCCTTAACCAGAATCGGGTTCTAGATGTTTCTCTGTTCTTTGCTTGTGTTTATCTCTTGTCCACCTCCTGCAGTCCAACTGTCCTCCTCCTGTCCCCTCTCACAGACAGTGCAGCTGAATGAAGTCAGTTTGGTCCATCAGAACCTTCCCATGTCTCGTTTCGCTCCGTATCACCAGAACTGATCAGATTTCTCCTAAAGATCAAAATAAATGATCTTGAATCTTCCGAAACCAAAGCTCTGCTCTGCCTACGTTTCCCATCATCCTCCTGTAATCTTTTTAAACTTTTTTTTGTCTCCTTGTTGTTATAGCGATGAAGAGGAGCCGGATTCTGGCCCTGCTTGTGGGCGGAGTCTTCTGCGTGGCTGTGATGTCACTGTACCGCATGCTGGAGCTGATGCAGGGCTCGGAGCGCGACCGACTGGGGGGCCCAGCTGTTGGACAGGTGGAGGAAGTAGGTTCCCATTTCTGTGAGTTTAAATCGATCCCTGAGCTATCAGCCAATCAGATGTCTGTGTTCAGGATTTGTCCCGCCTCCAGCTGAAAATCGACAGGTTGGAGCACCTCCTGGTTGACAACAACCGGTTGGTGGCTCGGCTGCGGGACTCGCTGCTGGTTAGAGAGTCACAGGAAGGAAGGCGTGTCTCCAACGTCAGCTCAGACTCCTCCCACAGCAGAGCGGGTCCGCCCCCTGGCTGCCAAACAGCCGAGGAGATGAAGGACGGCGCCGATGGAGTCCAGGTGATCTGAGCATGCCCAGAGCTGCGTCTCTGACTTTAACCAGTCTGATCGGTCTGTTGTTCCTGGAGCTGGAAATGAAGCCGTGAAGTTAATCTGAACCGTCTGTTCGCTGATCAGCTGCTGGACGTTTACGACCTCCTGCCCTTCGACAACCCAGACGGTGGAGCTTGGAAGCAGGGCTTCGAGATCACTTACAACGGGGACGAGTGGGCGGAGCATCCTCTGGAGCTGTTCCTGGTACCCCACTCCCACAACGACCCGGGTGGGTGGGCGGAGCCTCTCCTGAATCCTCCTGGAGCATCAGCTGTCTGAGCTGACGCCGCTGCTTTCTGTTTCAGGCTGGCTGAAGACGTTTGACGGCTACTTCCAGGACCAGACCAGACACATCCTGGACAACATGCTGGTTAAACTGGGCGAGGACAGCAGGTTTGAGAAGATCAGAAAGCTCCATCAGCCCAGCAGTTATTAATCTTATGCTGTATTGGTGTTCTAGTGACCCCTTGTGGTCATCTATGCCGGTGCTGCTGACCAGTAAAGTAATCCGTAATAATTGCTGCTTTTATTAGACGAATCAAACAAGAAGTTCCATAATATCTGTTCAATATAATCTGCCTCATTCGTGTTTTTTGGCTCAAACTGAAGATTATTTTAACCTTTGAAGCTCAGATGCAGCTTGCAACTGAAAATGCACAATCTAATGCTCCTTTCCCACTGGTCGAATAATCTACACTGGAAACACGATCTAGAAATAAGTAAAAATTTCTTAAATTAAGTGTATTTACCCTTAATTTGAGTAGGTAAATGAGATAGTTTGCCAATGGAATGAGTGTTTTTAACTCTTAAAATAAGATAATTAGATCATATGCACTCGAAATAAGACGATGCAATTGTGTTTTCTTATTTTAAGTGTAAATTGTCTTGTTCCATTAGCAAACTACCTCATTTACCTCCACAATCCAAGAACAAAGGCACTTATTTTAAGAAAAAATTACTTGTCTATATTTAGATTTTTTACAGTGTAGCCTAGTAAACTAGCCCCACCTGCCAGAGACCAAAATCATTGTTGCCTGCAAGTGGTCTAGCCTCGATGAATTAGATTAGATTAGATTCAACTTTATTACCAATGACCCAGGCCCTAGAATTGGTGGGCCAATTACAACGGAGAGATGTGTTTTGAATTTCTGGATGCAAAGTGGGCGGGGTTTTGAGGGCGGGACGACAAACCTGCGCGACGCTGGAGAGAAAGCACAACAAGGAAGATGGCAACAACTATTGAACATTTCTCGTTTGAATCAGCTTTGGAATCAGTTTTGGAATGATCAGACTTGGGGTTTTCGTTGAAACGTGAGCAGGAAGAGGATCTACGCTCATTAATTTTTAAGAAGGACGTATTCGCCGTTTTACCGACAGGCTGTTTGTTTACTAGCCTCGTGAGACCATCCTGATCTTGCCGCCATGTTGGTTTGATTGATTCCCTCTAGAGAGCAGTAGTACCGTAGATCAGCGGTGCCCAACCACCGGGCTGCGGGCCGGTACTGGTCCGTCGGTCATCTGGTACCGGGCCACACAGAAAAAAGTATATATATATATATA